GATGGCTCCCGATCTCAACTCCCTCCCATCCTCGCCCATGGCTTCGGCCACAAGGCCAGAGAGGCCCGTTGGTGGTGGCCCTGGCGGTCCTGGTGGCCCTGGCAGCTCGGCGAAGAGGCCCAACATTCTCTACATCATGGCTGATCAGTTGGCCGCCCCCCAACTGAAGATGTACAACCCAGAGTCTCAGATCAAGACGCCCAATCTTGATGGTCTTGCTGCCAAGTCTGTCCAGTTTGACTCTGCGTACTGCCCGTCACCTCTCTGCGCTCCTTCGCGCATGAGCATGATCACTGGTCTCCTGCCCATGGGCATCGGCGCCTACGACAATGCTAGCCAGATCTCCAGTGACATTCCCACATATGCCCACTACCTCCGTCTCCAGGGCTATCACACGGCCCTCGCCGGCAAGATGCATTTCATCGGCGACCAGCTTCACGGCTACGAGACTCGTCTGACGAGCGACATCTACCCTGGTGATTTTGGCTGGGCTGTCAACTGGGACGAGCCCGACACGCGTCTGGAATGGTACCACAACGCGAGCTCGATTCTGCAGGCAGGCACGTGCATTCGCAGCAACCAGCTGGACTATGACGAAGAGGTCATGTACAAGTCGACGCAATTCCTCTACGAGCACACTCGTCAGGGTCCTGACGCCCGGCCCTTCTCGCTCACTGTAAGTCATTTCTACCCCCTGGATCACATGGCTCATTTCACTCACACCATGCAGGTCTCTCTGACCCACCCTCATGACCCGTACACTATTGAGGAAAAGTACTGGGACATGTACGAGGGCGTCGACATTGCTCTGCCCAAAGTCCGCATTCCCAACGAGGAGCAGGACGCCCACAGCAAGCGCCTCCTGAAGGTCTGCGATCTTTGGGACCAGGACTTCACCGATGACCAGATCAAGCGCGCCAAGCGTGCCTACTTTGGCGCCGTCAGCTATGTCGATGACTGCGTTGGCCGCCTCCTACAGGTGCTCAAGCAGTGCCGCCTCGACGACAACACCATTGTTGTCTTTAGCGGCGACCACGGTGACATGCTGGGCGAGCGCAACCTTTGGTACAAGATGAGCTACTTTGAGTCGTCTGTGCGCGTACCGCTGTTCATCCACCACCCCCACCAGTTCCAGCCCCACCGCGTTTCTCAGAACGTGTCGACCCTGGACATCCTGCCCACCATGTGCGACTTTGTTGGTGTCAAGCCGTACAAGGACCTTCCCATGGACGGAATCTCGCTCTTCCCTCACCTCGAGGGCAAGGAGGGCCACGATACCGCTTTCGCCGAATACACGGGTGAGGGTACTATTAGCCCGCTCATGATGATTCGTCGCGGCGACTGGAAGTACATCACCTGCCCAACAGATGGCGTGCAGCTCTTCAACCTCAAGCACGACCCTCTCGAGCTCCGCGATCTTTCCAAGCTCACGAAGAAGGGCGCCCAGAGCGAGCACGAGAAGGAAGCCCTCGAGGTCCTCGAGGCCTTTGACGCCGAGGCGGCAGCGCGCTGGGACTTTGATGCCATCACCAAGCAGGTCGTGCTCTCGCAGCGCAAGCGCCGCCTTGTGTGGTCTGCGCTTCTCAAGGGCACCTTCACCAGCTGGGATCACAACCCCAACGACGACGGCAGGCTCAAGTACATCCGGTCCCAGATTCCCCTGGACGAGCTCGAGCGCCGCGCGCGCTATCCACCCGTGGACACTCATGGCAAGGAGATTGCGCAGGCGACTACCGCGTCTGGCAGGGTTGTCATCGACCAGGCCGGTTCGAAGGGACAGTAATCTGATGCTCTCCGTTCTTCGTTGCTTTCTGTAACCTTTTCACCTGGAACTTTCCGCTTCACGATTACACGACTTCGGATACGTCCATTGCTGCATTTCAAAATAGCGAGGGGGGTATTGATACTTGATGGTAAAATGCTCCTTGCTTAGGCCTCTGAAAATGAATTTGGCCTGGTCTGTTGCTCATTTTGGAGATTTTATAGTCTCTTGGGGATCGGGAGGTCTCGATAGTTTTGCTGCATGTTCTCATAGTTTCGGAGTTTAGCGGGTCAAGAAATTGAAAGACACTTCTAACAAACAATAGTCACGACATTAAGTAACTCGAATGTGACTCTTTGAAAGTGGCACGTCGTGATGTTGCGACGCTGGCCATATATGACGTGTTGGCGGGGGTTCCTTTGCGGCGCCGTGAAGAGGCGGGGTTTACAAGTTTCAGTCATGTATTGAAATACACTCAGTACAAGAATGTCTGAACGAGAAGCCCAATCACTGGCCCCCAGAGCTTTGGGACGACGTTGGCGACGGGGGCAGAGCCGCACTTTTTGAGGGGATCATGGGGAATCCGTACATCATAGCGTTACCTGTTGCAGCTTCATAGCCGGGCAGGGCGTTTGATCTCACCAGTGATACTTGATGGCCGCCCACCCCTTCCCCTGCCGCTTCTGGGGGGGGCAGTGGGGGTTCACGACTTGGTCGTGCCTTCAGGGCACTGTGGTAGCGGCAGCTGCGGGGCTGCTGCCTGTCCCAGACCCACCTCACTCGGGTTGTACCTTTGGCATGTACCTGAGGTAGCCGTGCGCTGATGGAAGCAACGCCGGACACTGAAGCTCGGATGCGACTGCCAGCAACTTCAGAACCTCAAGCAAGCATTTAGAGAGCATCTCCACCACAAAGCTTCCTCTAGCACAAACACAAGACCACAGCCACCATTTCGCCCAAGAATACCCTCCCGATTGCTTCGTCCAGTAGTCGTCAGTTCCCGAGCACTTCACCAGATTGAAATCTGCCACCGATCTATTTAGCGATTCTGTCTACATCCGCATCACCTCGCTCTGCGGCCGGCAGCTCGCCGTGACATAACCCCCCACCATGGCCTACCGTCAGCAGACCAATGCCCTCGGCCTCTCCGACGACGAGACGAAAGCCCTGGAACAGACCCGTCAGCGCCTCTACCAACTCACCAACAGCATACAAAGCTTCAAGGCCGACGTCGCCAAGAGCAACCCCCTCCCCCCGCAGTACGCACCCCTTTCCTCGGCAGCACGCTTGCTTCCCCGACGCTGCGCGCACCGATGCTGACAGGCTCTAGATCCTCGCTACAGGCCCAGTACCAGATCCTGCTCCGAAACCTCCAGTCCCTTCTCGACATTGTGAACGAGAATGCCGTCCCCTTCGCCCACACCTCGGTCCACCCAGCCGTCAACTTTCCCGGCCGCACGCAGGAGAATATCCTGCTGACCCTCCTCCGCAAGAAGCGTGAGCCGGACGTGGAGGAGCGCGTCGAGCGCGGCCTCGAAACGGCGCGGGATGTACGCGCCGCTGTGGCGGCGGACGGCAAGGACGGCATCACGCGGCTCGAGGAGGTGTGGAAGGAGCTGCGAGCCTGGACACAGGAACGCGTGGCGCAGTACGTTATTGAGGAGGCGGGCGACGTCTACACGCGCGAGGAGCGCGAGGGCGGCATCGAGAACGTGCGCAGCGGTCTCAAGAGGCCGTTGGAGGAGCCCGATGAGAGCGACGACGAAGACGGCGACGACGACGAAAACGAGGAAGAGGACGTCGTTATGGGCGACGGGGCGCAGTCGGGGGCGCCGCAGCCGGGCAAGGTGGCCGGGCCAGAACCTGAGGTGTTCTTCTGGTTCTCGGCCAGGGGAGACTTTGACCTGCCGCGCAACGTCGAGTTTGAGAAGGATGCTGCCAAGAGAGCGAGGTTGGCCGTGGCCGGGGGGCCGCCGAGGATAAGCTAGGCGCGAGGCTTGTGAGCTGCGAGCTGCGAGCTGCCTGCGATGCTTGGGGGGAGATATGATACCCAGCTACTCTGTCAACTGAGTAGCGTTCCGGTCGAGCGTGAGCTAGCATTTTGGATGGGTGCCCTGGGTGCATGATCTAAGTTCAACGGTGTTTTCGAAGAATCGCCATGATTCTTGACCGGCAGACTTTTATCGCACCCCGGGCAGTCATCACGATGATGCACAAGCACCACGTCTACAGATCATTGCGGTTGCATCACGGCACTAAAAGTAAAAGCCCCTGCATCTGAACAGGGTCCAGGCCCAGCCATGCACAACCGTCGTTTCCATCTGCCTACTTCAAGACGCGGGTTCGTCGCCAGGAAAGGTCCGGTGCTTCAAGGCCAGCGCTTTACAGTTTGGCTCACCTCAGCTTATCAGCTTCCCCACTCCCTTCCGGCTTGGCTGGTCACCCGGCCGTCGAGATTCAACTACAACAAAGCCAAATGTCAGTAGAGGCATCCTTGATCGACCTCCTGGGAACTGGTCCATCTTCATACCAAGTCTTCACCGGAGTCCTGTCGACGACAATCCTGCTCATTACATTCGTTCGATACGACGCGTGTCACCTTAAGGTATCTCAACCGTCGTGCAACGGAAATCCCAATCCCCTCCGTCTTGCACAGCATCTTCTAGCCCTAAAGTCAAAATCCGACCAGCTGGTCCAATGTCGCAGGTTGTAAAACGCCAAAAGGGCAGCTCGCACCCAGCCAGCCAACCGAAGATGCATGTTCGTCGCCCCTCTTCAGCCAAGCTGTCAGCTTACGCTGGGCCCCTTAGCTTGGGCCGACTACCCTTTTTGGACAAAACTCCCCAAAGTCTTTTGAAGCAGATTGGGGGTGATGTTCAAGTGTCCAATTGGGTTCACTCTTCCGTCGGCGTGAGACGCTGATCAGATGCTGTCAGCCGCAGCTCGTCAGCACAATGTCGGGGGGAAGGTAAGGCGCTGTGAGATCATGGGATCTTCTTGCATGTACAATATCAGGCTTTGCCCTGCTGCTGCCGTTCTTCAGAGTCTGTTTACTCTCTTGCTTCTTCAGGAACTCTACTGTCTTGTTGCGTCTTGTTCTCCCCTGTTTCTGACAGTATTGCCGTCACTTTGTCGTCGTCTGAAAACACACTCAACACTTGATCGCCTTGGAAGATCCCCTGATCGCTCTGGTCGAATCTTGGCTCAGCAACAGACTGGTGCAGATACCTCGCTCGGCATGAGTGTTACAACCACAATCGAGGTGCCCGTGGTCACCACGAAGACGACCCCGCTGGGACACAATGCTGCAGGTCAGGTGGACCTGTCTTGTTTCTGCTTCAATATTGACCCAAGGTTATTGATCGATACGCCTCCGGCTCCAAAAGCCTGCCTAAAGCGTGAGCCTCCCGTGTTCCGCCTGATGGATCTGCCCCTCGAAATCAGACTTCAGATCTTCCAATGGACCTGCCTCATGCACCCACTACGCTACGCACAACTGGCACCTTGGTATCCGACGCCCAGCTACACGACTTACCCCCAGGAGCTCCTCAGATCCGAAATTGACCAGGCAAACGACGTTCCAGCCAAGACAGATCTCGACGGCAGGAGGCTCCTCTCTCCGCACCGCCTCGTCTGCAGCATGCCCACGGCCCTACTGCGCTGCAGCCGGCAGATCTACGCCGAGACGCACCTCGTGCCGTTCCAGGAGAACGAGTTTGTCTTCGTCAACTGGTTCTCCTCCGGCCTCTGGGCCGCCCGCGCCTTTACCCGGCCCCTCCAGCCCTGGCAGCGCGGTGCCATGCGGCAGGTCCGCCTCGAGGTGCTGGGCCGCGACTTCTCCGGCGCCGGCCTCAAGGAGTGGACGGCTCTGTGCGACGGCTGGGCCGACGGCCTGCGCGGCTTGCGGCTCAAGATTCTGGTCGGCGGCGGACCCGTCGAGCCTGCGGTCGCGTCGACGCGGCTGAACGGCGAGAGCGCGGAGCTGCAGATAGCCGACGTCTTTCGCGACCCGGAGCCGAGGCCGGCGTGGATCGAGGAGGGGCTGCGGCGGCTGCGGGGCCTGCGGGCCTTGGAGGTTGAGCTGTCAACGCTGGATTGGGATAACGACCGGAAGCGCGCGTGGTGTGCTTCGCTGGGGCGGATGCTCAATGCCGAGAGGGAGAAGACGGGACTTGGGCCGGTCAGTGTTGCGTGTGTCAGGAGGCTTTCGGCGCCGAGGAAACCGGCTGTTGCAAAGGAGGTCGCGAGAGAGGTCGTTGTGCCGAAGGAGTCTGGTTGAAGGGGGTGCGGGCGCTGCCGTGGCATGTTGATGATGCGACGTCTGCATTGTATGAGTACCTTGGGTACGTCGTCAATGAGAGAACTTTTTCAGGGGCAGCAGGTTTCCCTTTTGATGTGCTCTTTGTTTGAAATTTGCTATGGACGAACAATCACTGCGAGGCGTGAGATTTCCCCAAACAAAAGGTGCTGACTAGGCCAGGGTATTTAAACCGTGGCATTCACGTCGTGAAGAAAAACTGAACTTCACTGATGCCGAGACGCGTTCCAGGTCCACCCTGGCGGGTGAATATCGCGACATGTAATCTTCACTGACAACAAGCTTCTATGGTCAACACTATATATACCCCTAGGCGCCAGCATCGGTTCTATTAATCTCACTTCGGCAACACACCCTGCTGTTGCTTGCTATCTGCCATCCTGTTATCAGACTTCGCTTCGCACTGCTGCCCAGATCTATTCCGTTCTCCTCGCGACCTTCAGGTCTATCGTTCCTGCTTAGTGCAAAGGAATACTCAAAACCCTTGTGTCAAACCTTTGAGTCATTTCAGTCAACATAAACATGGCCATGTCTATCTTGTAGGTTCAGCCATCTTGAAAGCCTGTCAGTTTTGTTGTGCTAACCAGAAGAAAGAGCGATCATCATTCTCCTCCTCAACTGGATTATCTCGGTCGGGGCCTACCTCTCGATGACGAACATCTTGATTCCCTCGGTGCTGGAGGCTTCCCTGCGTCTTATACAGCGCACCTACTGGCCAATCGTTCGCGCCTTTGCTTTGGCCGTCGGGTTCCTGTTTTCGTGCACCCTTCGGCTGATACTCTTCTTCACCATTGACATTCACACTGCTGTCCGCGAATATCGACGTCGCCGCAGCAGGCTCGCGAGGAGTCCACGTCACAAGACCAGAAACCTCAAGAGCGTCGATCTCCGTGATACTGAGGCGGTCACTGAGTACTAGGAGCTCAATGCCCCTCAGTTTCCAGAGCTTGACGCGGAGGCGTGTGGTGCTGATAGGGAGGTGGGTTTGGTTACGGCCAAAAAGTACAAGTCGTATCGTCTTGTGCAACAACTCAAGCTGGGACCACGGCAGCGCCAGACTATGGTTTCTCACAGGAGGAACACTTCTTGCTAGGCGATCAGGGTCTTGGCGGATGGGATGGTATACCGCGTGTTTTGGGAGTTACTGGGCGTTTAGGTGCGTCATTGAGCCTGGGAGATTAATCAGCTACCACCTTAACATATCACCTTTGGCCCTCGATCCCTATGTTGAGTCTGAATTCAAATGGCTATGGTTTTCTATTGTCTTCGATCCACTGAGTCTTCGATACGTTGAGCCCCATAAAGCAAACATCCGCTGATGGGTGACCATGTTGCCAATAGCGGCCACAGTGCTCTCTGTTGAGTATCCGCCACCTCTGAACGTCATGAGACTTCCGCCAGCTATCATCGCATTGGCGAAAGAGTGGACAGAACTTAGTCTTCAGGCAAGATATTTCTTTGCCGGATACTTGATGATAGGACCATGTCACGTACGTGCTGATGCAGTTAGCCGCCGTCGGCTGCATCTGTCGCACGAAGACCGGCGCGCTGGACAGTACCACGGCAGCCGTAGGCTCCTTGCATGAGATGAAATGAAGTCACGGCATAGAAGGAGTACAGGGTGGGGGCCCAGAACCGTCAGGTACGACTGGTGACAGATCCAGACCCATCGTCACTGCCGCGGTTTGCCAAATACCTATACAAGGCACCTCCTCGATGGCGTGATCCAGTATCATGATCTTTGTTCGACCTCCAAATTCGACCCTCGATTGAGGGATGTGCTCCCGAACGAATTCACCTTCAGCACACCAGCACTGACGAGCGTGTGAAGAGCAACCCGAGAACGACCAGCACCAGCTGCTTCATCAACAAACCAACAGACACGCAATCCAATGCTGCTCAGAGCTAGGCGGCTCATAGGCCGCCTCCTGGTTTTCCTGCCCAGCTTTCTCCTGTTCGAACGGGCCCATACCGACCACCCCTCTCCTCGCCTCCATGCCACCTCCTACCTCGATGGCCTTCGGGGGCTGGCCTCCCTGATTGTCGCCGTTTGTCACTACACAGAAGATAACCACGATTACTTTGTCCCCTCTTGGGGACTCAATGAGAAGACTTCCTCCATATTGCAATTGCCATTCATCCGCGTCATCTACTCTGGCCGACCCATGGTCCATATCTTCTTCATCATCTCGGGCATCGTCCTATCTCAAAAGCCAATCCAAGCCATTTACGCCCATGACATTGAGCGATGCCAGTCGATCCTAGCATCATCAGCCTTTCGGCGCCCGATTCGCCTCTTTGGCCCCTGTATTGTGTCGACTTTCCTGGTGCTCGTCTTGAGCTACGCTGGCTACCTCTATCACCCACTGCCGACCCTCTCCGAGCAATTTGAAGACTGGGGAGCCGCTCTTCTTCACGGCATCACCTGGCCGTGGTCGTGGGATTTTGACCTGGCGCCGGCCTATGACATCCACCTCTGGACAGTTCCCATTGAATTCATCCATTCCATGATGCTGTTCATGGTGGTGCTGGTTCTCTCGCCCATGCGTCGGATGATCCGACTTTCTGGCTTGCTGTTCATCATGCTCTACTGTCTGGCATGTGGAAGATGGGCCGCTTTCGAGTTTCTCGGCGGATGTCTGATCACCGAGATACAATTCTGGCAAGCAGCACGACAACCCAACCTGTCGAAAGCAACCGAGTTTGTCCCAATTCCAAGACCCAGTATCTCTTCCTACGTCATGACGACGATCCATGTCGCGCTCGTCCTGTTTTGGTGGTTCATTGCTGGGTGGCCCAACGAGAATGCTGCTCGCACGCCAGGTATCATGTTCTTTGTCGACAGAACGCCCGAGCCCTTTGCTTCTGTGGAGGTTGACGAGCGACGTCCGCAGAAATTCTGGTTCTGTCTGTCAGCCTTGGGTTTGATCTGGACCATTTCGCAGGCCAGGGTGCTGCAGAAACTCTTGGAGGGGGCGTTGGCCCAGCATCTGGGCCGCATGAGCTACGCGCTATACATTGTTCACGGGCCAGTCCTCAATATGATGCAGCGCGGGGTCATGGGACACGTCGGTGCTCTGGCTGAGGGGACGACCGAGAGGGACGATTTCGTACCGGGGGTCACAGCAACAGGCATCAAGGGGCTGATTGGGACGGAGTCGCCATCACAGCAGATACTGGCGTGGATACTAGGGTTGGTAGTGATGGGTCCGATTGTGGCGTGGGCGGCAGATGTCTTCTGGCAGGCTGTTGATCTTCCCATTATGGAGGCAGCCCGACGGATCGAGGGGTGGTGTTCCGAGAAGTGAAGCTGGGCCACTCTAGAGGCGAACATGGGCCAGAACAAAATGGACCAAGGCATCAATGGGAACGAACAAGATTTCTCAACACGAAAGTACTTTTGATTCAATACGCTGCACTTTTAAACGCCCTCGTCATCTCATATCGTCTCGGCCAGCTCGAAACCCTGGCTTGTTCAGCGTCACATGGCAGGCCAGAACGACTCCTCAGCCAGCAAAACCTCCCGCCACTGGCCCAGGGCGCGCTCCAAGAGCTGGTCCCGCACAGCAGCACCATGTCAGCGCACCTGCTCAGCGAC